GAATCAAAGAGGGTGATGAGTGGAAAATCGCTTTTAAGATCGAATTTGGTTTATATGAGTGGTTAGTGATGCCTTTTGGCCTCACTAATGCCCCTAGTACTTTCATGCGCCTAATGAATCATATTCTTAGGGATTGCATAGGAAAATTTGTGGTTGTCTACTTTACTTAGACAATACTACATCCAACATTGCATGTCTTTCTTCCAATGATGACTTAACATGGTTATGGCATTGACGCATTGCTCATATAATTGTAGATCAACTAAATAGACTTGCTTCTAAAAATCTAGTTGAAGGTCTACCTAAAAACAAGTTCTTAAAAAAAGGAAGTGATGCATGTCAAAAGGGAAAACAATCTAGAACTTCTTTAAAAAATAAGAAAATTGTTTCTACTTCTAGACACTAAATAGAAGATGGCAACCTACAGTGACTGCAATCACAGAATCTAAGAATCTAGCTCAAATGACAAGTGCTAAGTTATTTGGTAAACTTAGAGAATATTAAATGGACATGACCAGAATGGCTAAAGAAAAACTAAAAGACAAAAAGGTCAAGGGTCTCACATTAAAACTAGAAAACTCTTCAAGTGAAGAAGAAGAAAGCAGTGATGAGGACAAATCTGAACAAGAAGAAATGAATTTAATGGTAAGGAAATTCCAAAAGTTCATGAAAAGGAAGAACAGTAAAAGGAAATCCTCAAATCAGAAGAAAATCTTCAAAAAGGGTGACAACTCCTCTCCTAAATTTACATGCTTTGAATGTGGCAAAGCTGGACACATGAAGGCTGATTGCCCCAACCTAAAATGGCAAGGAAATGAGGAAAAGAAACCTAAGTTCAAATAAAAGAAAAATAAGGCTTATATAGCATGGGAAAAAATGACTCAACAACTTCTAGTGAGACGGAAAGTGAAGAAAAAACTAATTTATGTCTCATGGCAGGTCATGAAGTTGATTATGAGGTAAGTGATTTTGACTCTTCCATATATTCATATGATTAATTACATGATGTTTTATGTGATTTGTATTAAGAAGCTAAGAAGTTAAGTTCTCAAAACAGGAAATTGAAAGGCAATATTAAAGAAATGGAATTGAAAATCTCTTTTCTTAAAAAAGATATTCATTTGCTTAAATCAGAAAATGAGAAATTGAAATTGCCATGTTTAGAATGCAAGAACTTATATGTTGTTTTGAAGAAGAGAAATGAAGCATCAAAACATAAAAGCAAATCCACAACTTCTCACATATCATGTAAGTATTGCATGAAACCTGGACATAATCTTTATAAATGCATGATAAAGAAAATTGGTGTTCCTAGTGGAATGTTTGTATGGATTAAGAAACTAAATTATGATTGCACTAACATACAAGGACCCAAAATCCTTTGGGTACCAAAATAAAGTTATTCTCTTAATTATAGGTGTGCTTGAGAGCCAAGCAAATAATGTGGTATCTGGACAGTGGTTGCTCAAGACATATGATAGGGGATAAAAGCAAGTTTGTATCCCTACAAGAAAAAGAAAGTGGAACCATAACATATGGAGATAATAACAAAGGCAAAATACTAGGATCGGGTACTATCAGTAACTCTTCTAATACCCTTATTGAAGACGTTCTATATGTAGAAGGTGTAAAATACAATCTTCTTAGTATTAGCCAACTTTGTGATAAAAACTTCAATGCCTCATTTAATAATGAATGTTGTTTGGTGTGTGATAAGTCAACCAATAAAACATTGTTTATTGGTAAAAGAATTAACAACATATACATCTTAGACTTAGACAATACTACATCCAACATTGCATGTCTTTCTTCCAATGATGACTTAACATGGTTATGGCATTGACGCATTGCTCATATAATTGTAGATCAACTAAATAGACTTGCTTCTAAAAATCTAGTTGAAGGTCTACCTAAAAACAAGTTCTTAAAAAAAGGAAGTGATGCATGTCAAAAGGGAAAACAATCTAGAACTTCTTTAAAAAATAAGAAAATTGTTTCTACTTCTAGACCACTTGAAATTTTTCAGATGGATCTGTTTGGACCCTCAAGAACCATGAGTTTAGGTGGCAACACATATATGGCTTTGTCATAATAGATGACTTCTCTAGATTTACATGGGTTTCATTTATATCTCATAAAGACAATGCTTTTAAAACCTTCAAAATTATTGCGAAAAGAATTCAGAATGAAAAGGATTTGAAAATTAAGTTTTCAAGAAGTGATCATGGTGGTGAATTTCAAAATAAAAAGTTTCAAATATTTTCAAGGGACACTCTCCTCATGATCATAGAGTATTAGTTCTCTGCTAAGCTTCATTAGTTATAGGGTTTATCTTATTTTGAGTGAAACAAGCAATTTTGCATCAGGTTAATCGATTACCCTATGTAGCAATTGATTACCACTATGAAAATTGAGTTATATGCTTACCGAGAAGCACGAGATAATCAATTACCTTGCTTGGTAATAGATTACCTTTATTCTAAAATCAATGTGGTTTCGGTTTTTAAGAATTTGGTAATAGATGACCTTCATAGGTAATAGACTACAACTGTTACAAAATTTTTGAATGTTGAAATCCTTTTTGCACTAATATAAAACTTTTCAAAAACTTAAAAGAGAGATCAAATATACTCTGAAAAACATTTTTAGAACAAGAAAAATATCACATATTTTTCAAAAAGAATACAAGTGCTAAAAATTAATTGAAGAAGATGAGTTCTTGATAGATTTCAAGAAATTTATGAGTTAGTCTTTGATCAAGATCATTCTACACATATGGGGTGTATTATCTTTGATCTTATATCTTTGTTTTTACTTTTGATTGTATTACTCTTTGAGATAGAGTGTCTCAAGAAGAGTTAAGAGAAATCTTGAGACTGAATTTTTCTCAAGTAGGTTCTTATGGGGTGCAAGAATCTTTGTGAGTTAAATCTCGTGGATTCAAGATTGTGTTTGATTTTTATTCTAATTGTAATATTGCTTGTACATGGTGTGTGTAAAGAATATTATAGTAGAATGACTTGATTTAGTGGTGTGCTAAGTTAGAAATTGGATGTAGGCCCTTGTATGACTGAACCAGTATAGATCTTTATGTAATTATCTCTTAACCTTCATCTCTTGATATAATTATGATTTCATCTTGTGATATTTGTTAAAAAGAATTTCAAGAAAAGTTTTCTTGACATGTTAGCAAATGTTGTTCATACTCAGTTTATCATATATGCAATTTGGTAATAATAAAAGAAAGAAGGTAATTTCTAAAATCAATTTGGATTATAAGTAATTGATCCTCTACAGGCTATATTTGATATTTTGTGTCTTATTACTGATTTATAGTCTAAGTTTGATTAATTGATATTGGAATAAGAAATAAGAGAATAAGAATTTTTTTTGAAGATCATAGAAAGCCATCTAAGTGAAGAATCTATTGAACACCCCCTTCTAGATTCATGTTCTACCAGAGTAACACATCTTTGTCATGCTAGGATGAAAAATAAGTTTACTCTTATGACTTTCAATCAAAGCCATGTTTTTTAGCTCATAATCTTGAGGTAAGTAAATGTTGCCATTGAACCGCAAAATCCTTTCATCATCAACATCAAACCCCTCTGCCTTTTCAAAGCCCAATAACCTTCTTGTCTTCATCAAACTCTGATCTTGCATTTGGTTCTCCTTTACCTTCTTTAAGAACTCATTTGTAATGGTTGTTGTCTCACAACTAAAGTGATCACCACATAGAGATTCAAATATGTGAATTTCAGTACTAACCCAACTACTTAAGCATCATAGATGTTATGTAAATGGATTTCCTACTTAAAATATCTGCTACCACACTGGCCTTATCAGGATGATACATCAATGGGAAGTCATAATTCTCTTTAGGAATTTCATTCACCTTTGTTGTCTTATATTTAGCTTTTTTTGATCAAACAAGTACTTCAATTTGTTATGGCCACCAAAGACATCAAATTGCTCCTCACAAAGATAATGTCTCCAAATCTTCAAGGCAAACACCACAACTACCAATTCCAAATCATAAGTAGGATATCTCTTTTCAGAAGTCTTCAACTGCCTTGAAGCGTATGCCACCATCTTTCTATTTATGCATCAACACATATCCTAACCCTTGATGAGAAGCGTCACAATAAACCTTAAAAGGTTAATTGGGATTAGGTAACACCAACACCAACACAAGAGATGTTGTAAACTTCTTCTTTATCACTTTAAAGTTGTACTCACAATCATTTGTCCAAATTATAGGTTCATCCTTTCTAGTCAGTTGACTTAGAGAGATTACTATTTTGAAGAATCCTTTAATGAGCCTTTGATAGTAACCCACCAACCCAACAAAATTTTTTTATCTTTGTAACAGTGTTGGGACACTACCACTACAACATAGTCTCGACTTTGGATGGGTCTACTAAAGTCCTTTAAGAAAAAATCACATGGCCCAAAAACTACACTTCACTCATCCAAAAACCACACTTTGATAACTTTGCATACAACTTCTCCCTTAACACCTACAACATCAGCTTTAAATGCTCCATATGCTCTCCTAGGGATACTAAATAAATAAAAATTTCATCTATGAAAACAACAATAAACTTATCTAGCAAGGGCCTGGAAATTTGATTATTGTAATCCATGAAAACTGCAAGGACATTTGTCACATTGAACGATAAGGGTGTAAGCAGGTCAGGTTTAGACTATTTTAGTCCTAATCCAATTAAACTTAATCAAGTTGGGTTAGTCAGGTTTGTGGACTTTTTCTATGCAACCCAAACCAAACCAACCTAATTATAATCAGATTGAGTCAAGTTAGGTCATTGAGTTAAGTAATTATGAAATAAATGTTTTTTCAAAAATTAAAACAATTAAAAGCAAAATAAATACTTAATTTATATTTTAATACATTATTCAAAGTATAAATAATATTACAATAATCATACATGAGAAATCCCAAATATTTCAAAAGAGCAAACATTATGTTACTAACATAACAAATTTTGAATTACATAACAAGTAGAGTTAAATCATTCCTCTTGATCTATGTTCTCTTCAATTTAGTCAATTAATTCATTATTCAATATTTGGCAAAAAAATAGTAGAATTAAATATATGTAGAAGATTGTATTATGTGTTGTGTTGTGTGTAGTATTTTTAATTTAATTTAATAATTTATTATAGGTTGGTTTGGTTTAGGTTCATTGGATAGAAAATTCTTTGACTTGTTACCCAACCTAATTATAATTAGGTAATGTAAAAATTACCTAACCCGACTCGCAAAAATGTAATTGGGTTGGTTTTGGTATGTTAGGTTCGAAGGTGAGTCGTTACCCACTTATACCCTTATTGAATGACATCAATACATATTGATAATGACCATACTGAGTCTTGAAGGTGGTCTTTGATATGTCATCATCCTTCACTTTTATCTGGTTTAGGGTTTATTGAACATCAAATTGATCTCATTCCTGATTCTCTAATTGCAAATAGGCCAACCTATATAATGAGTCCTAAGGAAGCGAAAGAAATTCAAAAGCAAGCGGATGAATTGCTTCAAAAGGGATTTGTGAGGGAAAGTCTTAGTCCATGTTTTGTTCCTATAATCTTGGTTCCAAAGAAAGATGGAACATGACACATGTGCATTGACAGTCGAGCCATCAATAAAATCACTGTAAAGTATAGTTATCCTATCCCTAGATTGGATGATATGCTTGATGAATTGCATGGTTCTTGTCTATTCTCTAAAATTGATTTAAAAAGTGGATACAATCAAATTCGCATGAAAGAAGGTGATGAATGGAAAACAGCTTTCAAAACAAAATATGGTTTATATGAGTGGTTAGTGATGTCATTTGGCTTAACTAAAGCACCCAACACCTTCATGAGGTTAATGAACCATGTGTTGCATTCTTTCATTGGGAAATTTGTTGTAGTCTATTTTGATGATATTTTGATTTATAGTAAGACTTTTGGTGAACATGTTGATCATTTGCATGTTGTTCTTAATGTTTTGAGAGAAAACGAATTGTATGCTAATCTCAAGAAGTTTTCATTCTATCTTGAATCTGTTGTGTTTTTGGGTTATGTTGTAAGCTCAAAAGGAATAAGTGTAGATGAAGAAAAGGTAAAAGCAATTAAAGAATGTCCTACACCTAAAAATGCAAATGAAGTGAGAAGTTTTCATGGTTTAGCAAGTTTTTATAGAACGTTTGTGAAGAAATTTAGTTCTATTGCTACACCTTTGAATGAATTTTTTAAAAAGAATGTTGTGTTCAAATGGGATGATATGCATGAGAAAGCTTTTAATTTGTTGAAAGATAGGTTAACCAATGCACCTTTGCTTTGTTTGCCTAATTTTGATAAAGCTTTTGAAATTAAATGTGATGCTTCTGGTATTGGTATAGGCGATGTACTTATGCAAGACTCTAAGCTAATTTCATATTTTAGTGAGAAGTATAGTGGGGTAGCATTGAACTATCCAACTTATGACAAAAAGTTTGAAGTTAGCGAAAAAACACATAGAAGGGAGGGTTGAATATATGTGTGTGTGAACAAAGGTATTTTAAAAATGTTTTCACAAGGGTGGTGCTCTTCGTCCATTGTGCTTTTGAATATTAGACGATTGAGCATAGCTTGCTTATCATACGGTCAATGCGTCTGAAAGTTTTATCGACCACTAGGGAAAATGTCATGTAAAAATATTAATTAAACTTTTTACACTTTCCTCTTTAAGATAGTTTCGTTTAAGGATAAGTAGCAGATGAACTTTCAGTGTAACAAATTTGTTAAGCAAAATTAGCATCTTCGTCTAAGAGTTGCTTCAAAGATATATATAAAAACTGTACGAAGTCTTTCACAATTTTAGAGAAGATTTGCGTCTAAGTAAATAAAAAGAATGCAATCATTTTATACTAGTTCGCTCGACTGAGCTACATCCAGTCTCCTTCAACTTGAAGGGTTCCACTAAATATGCAATGAAGTACATAAGTATTGTTGACCAGTTCTGCACCGTTGACTTCACTCATCAACGCTAGTTTCTGGTTCTCAACCTCTTCAAGCTAGCAGTGAGTATTATGAACCACCCAGGTTAGAACCACTCCTGGTCCAAGTATTCTCGACCACTCCTGGCCCAAGTATTCTCTACCACTCCTAGCCCGCCAGCTTCACTCACTAGCTCTAGTATTCTTACACCACTTCTGGTCCAAGTATTCTCGACCACTTGTGGCCCGTCGGCTTCACTCACCAATGCTAGTATTCTTACACCACTTTTGGTCCAAGTATTCTCAACGACTTCTGGCCCGTTGGCTTCACTCACCAACGCTAGTATTCTTAAACCACTTCTGGTTCCCCAAGTATTCTCGACTACACCTGGTCCGTCGGCTTTACTCACCAACACTAGTATTTTCTTATCAGCCACTTTTGGCTAGCACTGAGTATTCTTTAACAAGCCCCTCCGGGCTTTAGAAGTATTCTTTTCCTAGCCTCTTCAGGCTTTACTATGTTGGCTAAGTAGGTTTGGTTTGAGTGTATACATAACTCTCATAGAGAGGATTGAAAATTTCTACACTCACTAAGGTTTACTACATTAGTCTTATAGAGACTTGTGGTTGAGTGTTTAGTTTACTCTCATGGAGAGGATACATAGGTTTACAACACTCACTAAGATTTAGTTCACCAATGACGCCTCAACTACCTTAGTCTTTAGAGATAAAAATACAATATTACATTGTACATATGACTTTGAATGTTCATCTCTGGTATCTCTATTTTCTTGGGCTTGATATCACTATTTCTTGATCAGAAAAAAAAAAAAGCCAACCATTTAACGCTTGAGGTAGTGATATATATAGGCTCTTGTAAAATCTGCCCGTTGCATGTCTGATGAAGCAGATATGGTCGTTTATGACTAGTTTAATCTTCTCATTTAATGCTCTGATTCTTGCATTAAATGTTGCTTCCTGTTTATGGACAATGCGTGAAGTTTTCCTACTCAGTTGGTAGCTGTATCTGTGTGTAGCAGAGTCCTAGGAAACTTTTGTCCTTTTTCTGATCCTATAGTTGTGAAGCTTTTGTGCTTGTATGAAAAGTGATGTACTTTTCCTGACACGCGCATGATTTAACATTTAAGTATGCTCTTCTTCTTTCTTCTTCTCTTATCATAATTCGTCTGTCTTCATGTGTTCTTTTTATGAGTGTAGAGGGTATTCAAATTGTCTTTTGAACCATGAATTCTTAGGTGATTATGTGTCATTCTTCGTCTGTGTCTGGTAATCGACATATAGTTCAATACTTTGACCTTTGTCTGATCATCAGTATTTTCCTTTCGTCTTGGCCAACTCTGTATACAGTTAGGCTTTCCATTTCTTCTTGGTTGTTGATCATCTTCTGTCTAAGTCTTTAAGTGCCACCTTAGACTATATTTTGTATGGTCTTTTTTATGTTGGCCTTTTTTCTTGTGTCATCGGATGCTTATACCACTTTATCATTTTACCTGTTCTTACGTCTCTCTGAAACACTAACTCACTTGTTAGAGATAACAACATATATTATATATGTCACACTCAAAATCTTTTTTGGGAATGTCTTCATCTGACTTAACAATCTCCCCCTTTTTGATAATGACAAATATAATTAATCAAGTTTGTTTCAAATAAGATTGGTGCGTCTAAATCAAGGCAATTAGAATAAATCGTATGTTCGTTGTGCAAGTTGAGTATTGTGTTCGATATCCCCCTTACTCGATTGTCCCTTGGAGGATTATCAGTTGTCCATTTATGGAGTGCATTTATAAAGTGTAGTTTTAGTTGATTAATTTTTCTTCTATTTCTCCCCCTTTGTAATCATCAAAAAAATGGAGACAAGATAATATCGAAGGAAAAGAAATGTGTATTGAATTGCAATGAGTGTTTACAATAAAAACTGCAAAAAAAAACATTGTATGCTATCATGACTAATCGTGTAGTTGCTATCCTATCCTTCTTGACTACGATCATTAGGACGGAGGAGGATCCTTGGGAAGCCTTGATGCAATCAGATCAAACAAGTTGTCAAACTTATTAGCTAAATCAGTTCTGAACCTGTTGAAT